TAGACCTGAGCCTTAGGATCCCGGGGCCACGCGTCCTCGAGCGTACACCAATGCTGCAGCCGTAGCAAAGAGCTAGCGAGTTTTGTCTCGAAAATATGGTTCAACCTGAAACTAAGCAGACTTACTAGTGCCACTGTTGTAGGGGAGTCAGTGCAACTGATAGGTTCGACGGGGAGGTGGTGCTAATGCACAGGGCCAAGCAAACACGTATATGTGATTCAACTTGCAGAAGAGGCAAACCGAATTTGCAACAGAAAACCAGTTTGGTCAAATCCGAACCAAAGGTTCATCCGGCTTGAATGAACCAGTCACGGAGGCGGTTAGGGCCAGGTAGAAAGCTTTGTGGAAAAAACGTAAAATGGGGTGATAGCATGATAATTGGCCTCAGAAAATGGTGGATTCGTTTGATGATCTAGGAACCAATCACTAGCTCGACCGGAGTAGGTCCCCTATTTTGGAAAGTCTAGGACCGTCGCCGAGGTAGGTAGCAGGTAATCCGGCCGTTGTACTAGTTGGAAAGGGCGATTAGATGGCTTACCAAAAGAAGCCAAAAATGCGTTCTCCGTTGTGCAGTAGAGGGTTATTGTGAACAGGACAGTGGACAAGTAATACGCTGGCGGGCAACAGCTTCCGAGATAATGGATAAGAACCGTAGCTTTACTGAACTCTACCACGTCAACTTAACAGGAAAGCAAGAGTGAGGGTCTCCTGTCACCGAGCAACCGCCTTCAGCTCCGAGGACTGAATGGCGCATGGCGACAAGAGCCATTAAGGGCTGCTGGTATACAGGAAATAATAAGCCATTGATATTTTATAGGTAGATGATGGCTTCAGAGAAGAAGATGGAAGATGTTTGTTATATCTGTGTGATGAGGTACTCTTGTGGCAGTGCAACCCAACTAAGGCGAAGGTGGCAACCCCCTGCACGTCGAAGTTAGCCATGCGCTTCGCACAGTGTCTTCAGGCTACTCCATGCACATATATCTTAAATCAAACGAAAAGACAAATGTCATTCGCTTGCATTACTTGGTGTTGAGGGACATCTGACAATCGAAACAAGTCCAAACCAGCTACAGACAAAAAACAACGGTTCTCTTTTATGGTTTCCCTGAATTAGAGGCCAGGCTTAGAACCACTGGAGATTGGTAATGCACCGGTGCTACTGGAGGGGGTGAAGTATACGAACGCACCATCATGCGACGCAACAGGGTGACCCTCCGCACGGGGCGTTGCCGTCCACCACACGAGGTTTGCATCCTTCGTGCATGCTACCAGATATGCAGGGTGACAAGCCACCAAGCAGTCATAATTGCGGTTTGTGCAGTAATAAACAACTCCGGCTACCAGATATTTTGTCCGGTCTGGGGAACAGCCAGGCCAGCAAAACAGCTGGCATTTCGAACGGGCGAACAGCAAACAGACATGGGAAGGGGCAAGTTGCTTAGACAAACGAAACGGCAACCACCTTTTTGATTGTGGGAGTAGAATGGAGATATTCAGAGCCTGTGTGCTATGGCGAAACAGAGACGAAGCATTGGTGTGAACTGCTATTTCAAGTGGAGGCACAACAAAGCGTTATGTGCGTTTGTGAACGAGTGGGCTGTGGAACCAAACAAGCATTTCATTCACAGCTCATCTTCAGCCCCACAATTTGATATGCCTGCACTGCGCGTGGTCAGAGGATGCAGAATGGTTCTGAACAGCACGCCAAATAGTAGCTCCATTCTTCATCAAACACTGGGACCATGGGTTGAGCGGATGTGTCGAAGCCGAACAAAGCAAGCGAATACGGCCATGGTGCCCGAGCTCTGCCCATGCATTTGATGGAAGGTGAAGCCTAATGTTAAACTTATTGTACGGCCTTGCAGCGTTCATTCACCGTCGTTTATTATTTAAAGAAGGTCAAGGAAAATTTGGCGGGACATTGGACAATTCCACTTTAGAAACGCTGCGTACATTGGGTATCGATTTTCGAGCTCAATAGCCCACAACGGCTTAGGTCACGTTAGCTAGCAGAACCTTCTCAGTACATGACGTTTATCCCTTCACCGGTATCAGAAGTCAGTGGCAAGCCCCGCATTTTGGTGAATGCGCCCGGGTGAGTTTTTATAACGAGTGACGCCGAAGCCCCCGTAAAAGCTTCAAGTTGTTCAGTTTGTCACAAACATGGGGGACATAATCAAAATTAACCATTGAAAGCGAGGCTACATATTTCAAGATGCAGTTAATAACACAGAACTGAATCGTCCACGGCGCTAGCCGGCATCGCCGCTGGTTTTCGTCTTATACGAGATGTATTACTAATAGTGCGCTTTTGTGTCAAAAAATCGTCGTTTTGGGAACCTTCAGGTTCCTTTTAGAACAAGAACCGAGGTATAAAATCTAGAAAATGATCTAGATGACAGTGATGCAAACGCTGACGGTTTCGCACCGCATGAACGAATTTTCGAATGCGGAGGTCAACGCTTCTCAGTTTCCGTAAAATTACTCTCCTAGGTTCTTTTGCGGTGGCATAGCCGACAACTTGCATGTAAATTTTCCAGGTCCATCAGTACTTCGACTACCTTTTGGAGTAACTTGCCCACCCTGTTGCGTAAAAAAGACTGAAATCCTCCAGTCCACGTCACGTCAGCCTTGAGCTTGGAATGTTGTAGGCATTTTGTGAAGTACTTCTGCGGTGTCAGCCTCAGCTTTTGTTAGGTGATTTCTGTGACATGGCTGCGTCATAGAACAGTGGGTCGTGTTAAACCATTGACGTTTGGCGGACCACACAAACAGCAGGTTAAAGTTACCAAACAGACAACTTCAGCATCATGACATGCACCCTGTGCATTTGTTCGCACTGGCTTCTTCGGCTACGCATGTTAAAGCCAGGTTACCACATGAAACTGCTCAGTACGCATGATATACGTCCATTACCATAACTGACTCACTCATGTTAGCAAGTAACGATAACAATAATAGGGTAGCAGGAAAATTTTTTTTCCTCCCAGTTCCAAACTCGTTAAGACTATGCGATCCATTTACAAGGCAAATATGCCCGCCCTGGATTTGGGAGTGAGGTCTGTTGTGAAGTCTGTGATGTACCCTAAACGGATGGGCAGTGAAGCTTGCTTCCACATAATCGCGCGTGACTCTCTGACTAAAGTCCCCAGTGAGAAACGCTAAATCCGAGTAATGTCATTGCTGGTGGACTGTTGCAGTAAGTACAGAGCAAAATTCCACCGCATTAATACGATGCGAAATGAGCAGCAATGAAGATACCTCTGCTGCAATAAATGGCTTATTTGATCGTCAAGGAGGCGAGGCTCTCCCTATGAGGCATGATCGTAACGAGGTAGAAATACGGTCAGTTTTGACGGACTCATTTGTCGAATTAATAGAGGTAACCGATGGGGAACTGGCCTCGACCAACCTAAGAAATCAATGCAGATACTGGAATAGGAAACAGTGAATACGAGTAAAACGCACAAAATACACACAGTAGGAATTGCGGTAATGATAAAACATCTACAACCTGGAAAGCTGGTGAGAGTGTGCATTGGCCGGCATATATGCTGGGTATGTTCGCCTATATAAACGGTTGTCTGCAAATGTCTAATGATTGTTAAAATGGTTACCTCTCTGGACGAACTGACGAGTAATTGAGCACAGGAAGCAGTTAAAGAATCAACAAGCATCTATACTTCTGTGATGATAACCTGGACCCAATTGTTCGCGGAAAACCTCCCATGCACTGTTGGCAGGGGATGGCTAAATTCCCACTTCATCCGGTGTCTTTGGTGGTTGACCTAGTCTTTCCTGAATTTCTGATTGCGGTGCAAGTAATTCAAGTGAATGCTCTCTGCTACTAATGACAAGAAATCGATTCGAATGTGAATACACGGCTAGGTGATGCCATGGTGGGAATTTGAGCACACATCGGTAGAGCATTAGCACACAGTGGTTTTTAATCTTTTAATCCAGCATACCGGACAAGTAGTCCCTACTCAGCATACCAAACAGCCTGCTTCGATAGGTCAGGATTGAAAATAATGTTCCGTCTTAGAAATGGCGTACCGTTTATGTCGTGTTACATTTGTTACACAAAAATGACAACAGTTAGAAGTCATCCTGTTCTACAGAAATTTGTTGTAGATATTCGAAGGTAGGCTGCTGAATTTTGGAGCAAAATAAACAGAATAACGCTCAGATTTTTCAAAGAAGCTCTGTGTAATTCCGAAACGTTACTGCCTTTGAGCACAGAACACCTTTATTGGGTAAATGCTGGATCACTGACGAAATGGATAGAAACGATTTATCAGATGAAACCAATCGACAACGAATGCTCGATTTATGATCGCGTGTCGGCATGCGAAAGCAAAGACAGCAAAAATGGCGATGCGTGCTTGAAAGTGACACACGCCTACTGATTCGTACTAGATATGCGTAGATACATACGGATATATGTACACGACGAGCCGCTCGAAATTCTGAAGAGCTTTTATCGGTCGGGAAGTTTATAGCTTTTGGCCTGGCACAAACTGAACAGTCACCTATTAGCCTTCGAGAGCCTTGTGACTAGGCGAACCCTTTCTCACGTTTCGGTGACACTTAAGAATTCGGCGAACATACATATAATGATGCCGAGTGTGTGGTTTCACCTAATAAGAACGTTTGGTGCTCCTCAACAGAACGGCGCACGTAATTGAGCAAAACTAAACGTGGGGGTTGAGTCAGCAAACTGATCAGCAACCCTGCCTTCTCGCTCCTCGAAATATACGCCATCCTGACTGGAGGCCTCAATTAAGCAGAATTGGCAGATGTCTCGATGTAATGCCTCCGAATTGGTTCCCACGATCGATCACCTAACTGCCTTACCGGTCGACTGAACTGCCCTTCCAACAATGCCCTTCTCCCATTGCCCTATGGGTGCCGAGATATCTCCCAATAAAACGCGGCCACCTCCCTTCAGGCCTTTTCCCTGTTTATGCCACTTTGACATCGTCTGCAAAGCTGGGAGATACTCCTTCATCACCGGTTCCAAAATAGGTCGGCTGCGGGATTGGCGTGTATCTAGGTTTTAGTTAGATTTCGTGAGTCGACAAAATGACTGGCTGCTGAAGGATTCGCGCTAAACGGCAACAAATGTTTCGGCGTTGGGGCTGATTATTCAGTGGGGTGCGAAGTCAGTCTTGCTAACATGCGGTAGCTGAGGATTTTTTGATCTCAGTTAAAGTTGCCCGCAGCGTCTCGCCGTCTACCAGTCTGTCTCTCAATAGGGCCCGCAAAATTCCCCTAATACTCCGTATCAACTTCTCCCAAATACCTCCACGATGGCTAGCTTCCGGTACGGAGAACACAGTCGCGCTCGCGCTCTACAGTCTTGGTCGCCAACTTGCCCTGATCCCATTTATGAAGACATTTCTTAACGTCAACTTCGGCCCCTCTGAAACTGGTGCGAATGTCACTGTAAGGCCTTGATGGACTGCCCCATCGGACGACAAATCTCGAGAACGTGCGTACGATCGAAGTCATGTCCAGGGTGTGAGCTAACTTGGTGTGAACTGCACGGATGGTCATGAAAGTGAATACACAGTCATATCGTTTCTCGGCGTCACATCCTCGTTTGACTTACAGAGGTCCGAAGTAGTCCATCACGGTGAGTAAGAAAGGTCCATGCTTGCAGTCCGTTCGTTCGGTTCGAAGGGGGCCATCATTTGGTAGCACGGCAGCGAAAACCATCAACGTCAGAAAGCTCGCACTCACTGATTGTGGTAGAAAATTTCCTTTCACTTTGTTCTGCTTGGCGTCTTGCTAAATTATTGTGTTGAATTCTGTAGATTACGTTTGTCTTTTTCACTGTATTTGGTTACCATTTTGGCTTCTATAGCTATCTAGCCGTTCCTTTTTAGGTCGTCGGGTTGCCTGCTGCATTACATCCTGTGAAATACCTTGGATAACTGTTTCTTTGAAAGGCTTATCGTAGCGTCGTACGACTTTAGCATTGGCTTCTACTCTGCGTCATGGTTTGCCTGAGTGGTGTCCCGATTGAGCTCTGCTTACGATCGTTTGAATGGTCGCTGTGGTAGTTCAGAATTCCATCCACATGTGCAGCCTTTCTTTTGATTTCAGCTTGCGTTTATGCATTTGATAATCCAGTGATGGAAAATTTTAAACCCGGTAGCTTGTTACTGTTCCCCTTTTTCTGAGCATTCTACGCCCAAAATGGCGCGTTCATGGATGACTTGCCCGCCGGCAGACTTCGCCTTGACAACGACCAAGCCTCCTCCAAGGGTAATTGCAAAACCACAGACTGTAAGTAGGGTGGCCCTTTGATCATCGATTAATCTTTTGCAGGAGTTTATGGGAAACAACTGGATGCGGGTGTTCGGACACATGGAAGCGGATACACGTGGATGCATCGGAAAGCATGAGATGATCGTCAAGGACAAGATCAGTTCAGGATATTATTTCGGAAAAGCAGTTTTCCAGACTGATCAGAAACAACAAGAACGGAACCATCACCAACAACAACAACAAAAAACAACAACGAGAAAGTGCTATAAACGCTTTATATCCAACAACTGACAAGGATGATGTCCTTCGTCAAGAACCGCAAACAGCACTCCAAATGAGAGCTTACCTGTCAGTGGCCTTAATTCTGACCAATCACGCACGAATTGGATTAGTGTAGTAAACGGTACCTGCCAGTTTGATTGATTTACATGTAATTATTGTAGTATACGGCGTCTGTCATTTTGATTGATTCATATGTAAGTATTGGTGATGTACAACCTTGCTCACTGGGCTTTGGCTCATGAGATTTGTTCCTGTTTTCCATCCACGGAAATTGTCGTGAACACCTGCTTCCGGAGAGTCACTGTCCCCTGGCGCTTCCATAGCGTTCATGTTACACTTGGTGCTACACCGTCCTTGGACCCGTTCTTCCTGTCATTCAGATGGAAGTGAGCATTATTGACCGTCGCAGCGCCAATTTGTGAGTTGTGAGACTGGTTTGGCGTAGGAATCCGACGAAACTTCGATAGCAGTTTGAAAAATCAGGGGTCGTTTTATGTTGGAAGCAAACAAACTACATTTCACCAGCCTCTTGCCGGTGCTGTACTAGCGTGGCTTTGTCCATACTTGTTTTCCCGAACCCGAGGAGTTCAAACGTAGGAGCCTCCCGCGAGGCAGGATAACAGTCTAGTTTAACGGCCATCCCCAGGTGTCCATCAAAGAGTAGAATCCAGCCCCCCAACCTTGTTATGTAATTGATGAAATACATAGTGTTATAATGGAAGTAAAATAAAGGTACAGAACGCCACACTGTCACCTGGTGCTTTCATAGCGTGCATATTACTCTATAGTCTTCGCGGGGCCCAGCTGCGAGCTGTAGGGTGATTTTGGCCTAATGCTGTGGGCGACGATCTGACTAACCAATTGACATTAATGTTACAGTTCTACGTTCGCATTGTGCGCTGGTTTGTTTGCAGTTTCACTTTTGGACAAGAATTCAAACTACGTGAGAGAGATGGCCTAGTAAACTACAGTTAGGGACGCGGGAGATAATTGTCTTTAACGTGAATACGCTCATACAGCAGCATGGTATTTGAAAACGAGAAAATCCATGCTTGAACTTAATAATTGGGTAAGGATTCCGGGGTGAGAACGAGCAGCCAGGATCGTAAACAACTGGCTGGAGGGGGGAAGGCTATCCGGATAGGGGAAATGTGACCGAAATACTAGTCCTAGCTATTAGTGGCGAGATGGCCGAAATGGTTTTTAAAGATGTAAATAGTTGCGCCATTCCCAGGCGGAAAACATCTGTGTTTGAAATGCTATTGTTTTACCTTACCTTAATAACCATCACTTCAAGCCGCACTACAAAGCTGTATTCCCGAGACGGAGGAAGCACGATATTAGGCAGTAACTCTAGACAAAATGCAGACGAAAGTAGATCGTGCACAGCTAGCAATGTCCATCGTGCCCGGCAGCAGGCAATATGAAAAGCTTTATAAATTAACGGGCATATCTAGTGGGGGCGAGATGGCCCAAGTAGTTAGCGCAAATTTATTGACTGGACGGTCCATGGTTCGAACCCGACCTCTGTTCCTCGACTTCCCCTGTCTAGGCTTTGGCACCCTGGCAGTACCTCAGCCCCCGTGCAACCTTCGGATGTCATGGAA